CTTTTTTCTTTTTCATCTCATTTCTTACAAAAAGATTCTCATTGTTTTACCCCAAATCATGTGTGACATTCATTTTTTTCTCTTTTCTTCATTTTGTTTTTCTTTCTCTCTTTGAAACCTTTTATGATTTTTTATCTTTTTTTTTTCAAAAAAAAAATGCCTCAAGTGTGGAGGGTGATCTTTGGTCAGGAGTTTTTTTTTTTTAAATCATAATAAGCTCAATGGGGTAGCAATGAATAGTTTTTCAAATGGTAAAAGAAAGATGCCATTTTTTCTCTCAAATGTGAATGCTTTCCTTAAAGATCATTCATTGAACAAAAATAAGTTCATGGATCTTTATAACAGATTACATATCTTCAAGATATATCTATTTCACATCTGCTAATAGCTGACTTCTTTTGCTCAAATTGTCTCCATAGATTAATGTGAATGAATTTTTAAAATTAAATCTCAAAATTATTGTTATCATTGTCTAAACATTCATCATTTGAAATTCAATAATGGAAATAAAAAGTTATGAAAGGTAACAAAGCATGGAATAATTGTTGAATGAAAGAGAAAATGTAATGAAATGTATTAACTTGCCTTTTATTAAAATGATAACAAATAAAATCCTATTGCCTAAAAGAAATCCTAACATTACTCTAAAAAAAATCCTAAAATGACATGAAACTTTCAACCAGCCTTATTTTCATTCTCTAAAATTATGCCCCTGTGTAATAAGGTGAATTATCTTTATTAACATTTTGCCCCCCGATTCATTGCAGCTCTCCAGGCTTTTTCTGATCAACGTGTTCTTGATTTTCACTAAAAGCATTGGCATTATAATTAGACAATAAATTACCACTAACATTAAGTGTTGTTGCTCTTTTTTTATCAAAACTTATCATTCCATCCTTGATTAACCGTTACACCTTATGCTTTAGAGCAGTGTAATTTTTAGTGAAATGGTCAGCAATTCTATAGTGGTAGTCACAATAAGCTGTAAGATCATACCACTTAAGATAGGGTAGCTTGAGCAGCTCCACACGACTGGGGGCAATCAAATGACTGTTATAAAGCTCTCGTTATAACTCTATATAAGTCATAGATATTGGATCAAATACGAATTTTTCTTGAGTAATGCGTTGCTCTCATGAACCACTTGCCAAGCTAACAGGATGAATTTGAGATCTTGTAAGAGTTTGAATGTTAAAGTTGTATGTAAGAGCCTTGAGGCTAAAAATTGAATGGTATGTGGATGAATAAGGTGGTTGTGAAGCTAGCTGGTATGGGTAGGATGAGGCATTGTTCACAGTAGGATAGTATGAAGAGTAACCTTGAGGTGAATAGAGTTGATATCCCTTGAATTGTTTGTCGAAGTTCACAGCTTGAGCTTCAATCTCTTTATTCTCTGATGTCTTATTGGTTTCTCCTCCTTTCAACTTGCCATTTTTAATGACATTCTCAATGATTTCACCTGAGATCATCATATCGATGAAATATTTTATTGCATTTTCTATCATCTTTTCATAATAAAGAGATTTTAAAGTGTTGACAAATAGTACTATGGTCTCTTTCTTAGTTAGAGAATGTTGTACTTGAGAAGCAATATCCATCCACTTCTAGGCATACTCTTTAAATGATTCAGTTGCTTTTTTTTTTAGATTTTGTAAAAAAATGCGATATGGGGCTAAGTCGATGATATGTTGATACTGACTAATGAAATCATGAGTCATATCATTTTAAAATTGAATATGGGTTTTATCCAGTTGGATATACCATCTAGCAGCAGAGCCCATAAGGTTATCTTGAAAAATATACATTAACAACTTTTTTTTATCAGCATGGGCTTTCATTTTTTGATAGTATATGGTAATGTGGGTCTTCGGGTACTTTGTACCATCATATTTTTCAAATTTTGGTACTTTGAACTTTGGTAGAATAACTACATCTGAGACTAAGCACAGCTTAGCAGCATCGACAGAACCATAAAACACAATTCCTTCTATAGCCCATAGTCTTTGTTCAAGCATACTAATCTTCGAATCTTCTTGAGATTTCACCATCTTTGCCTTTTCTTTCTCCTTTTCTTTCAAGTCATCTAGATCAGGAACTTGGATCGATTATACTATCTTTTCAGTAAAGACAAGATTCACATAGCTATGGTAATGTCCTAGGTTCGAAGTTGATGGTATTTCAATGTATACAGGATATGTGAACTGCTGTGCTGGTATATCCTGTGTAGACTAGGCTTGTTGTACACCAAAACTTAAAAAATATAGAAGATCAGCCACTTTTTGTAATGGAGAGCCCTATTGGCTTGTGTTCTCTTCTATCCCTTTTCCCTTATTTAACTTGTTGAGAGCTTCAGAATCCTACTCAACTTATTTTTAATTTTTTCTTGTGCTTTTTTCAGTTTCTCAAATCGATGAGAGTTTTCTTGCTCCATTTGTCTGGCTCGAGCTTTTGTATTATATTTGTGAGTGAAGTTGCTTGGTGGAGCTATCCTTGAACCTTTGGCACCACAATTATGATTAAAAATGCTATGCTATGCTTTGTGTATGATATGTTGATGCATGAATGAAATGTATATTTTCATGGATGAAATCTAATATGAAAATGATACAAACGCACAATGTTACATATGACAATGAAAATGATGCATGAGATGATAATGTAAATGCACAAAGTCAAACAATCAAAACGGTTAGATCAACACAACTTTATTCCTTCTTGTGTCCTAGTTTCGAGGTATATCTATCATTGAGTAGGCATGGCTCTATCGTAGGGTTAGGCATTTCTAAGGTTGACTATATGTGGTTCGAGGTTAAAGTCTAAAGGTTTCCAAATTGCTCATTACATCATTGTCCATTACAGATTAGTAAGACACCCCAATCCTCACCCATTACAGGCTACAAGCAAAAAAAGTTCAATTTGAGTGGGAGTATTTCACTAGCCGCTGCGAAGGCATTAAAACCTCACGAAAGCAATAGGTATTTTACTCCTTCCTAAAGGGACAAAGTTCGGGTATAGAGCTCATGTTATGCGCATGCATATGAATGACAGAATTAATAAAGTAAATAAATATGAATGAATAAAAATCTATATAAAAAGTTTAATTTTATTAGGCTTTTAGATAACATAAATTTATTCGCTGGCTTGACTCTCAGCGGTCCCCGGTGGAGTCGTCAAACTGTCATAACATATAGATCTGACGATCTATCGCTAGACATTGACTTAAGGAGTTGCCACTAATTTTTTTTATTTAGGTGTGATTGACCACCTAAGGAATCTATCCTTTCAAGGAACACCTAAGCTTAAGGGTCCCTGAAAGAATAAGTTCGGGTCTATTAACCAGAATAGGGTTCGAGAGTACGATTATGTGTGAGGAATGTTATAACACCCTCACAACGCCCATCGAAATATGGTACCAGCTTAATTTCATGTTATCCAATAAACCTTAAAAATTTTACTAAGTAATTAATTATTAGAAATTATTCTTAATTAACTCAAATACTTTTGACAGAAAATTAACAAAAATCCTCTCACCTCAAGAGTATAAAAAAAAATTATTGTTTCACTTGCAGAGACTTTATCATCAAATTATTTAACATTAAAAATTTTCAAGAAAACAAATAAAATAAAATAAAATAAAGAGGAATAATGATTCAACTTTTGATGCAAATCTTTTTCTTTTTATTATTTTTTTTAAAAAACTTATTACTTTTGTACAAAAAAAATTGATACTTTCAACTTTTTTTTAAAGCATTTGGAGTTTTTATTTTAAGAAAAATTAATACTTTTAACTTTTTCTTAAAATGTTTTTCTTGATAATTTTTATTTTTGAGAAAAATTGATACTTCTAACTTTTCCTAAAAAATTATTTTTAAGAAAAATTGATACTTTCAACTTTTTTCCCAAAAATATTTTTTAAAAATTTTATTTTCAAAGAAAATTAATACTTTCAACTTTTCTTTAAAAATATTTTTTCTTGAAAATTTTATTTTATATTTTTTCTATTTTTTTTAAAGTTTATTCATGCAAAAATATATATATTCTAAAAAATAAACAAACACATAAAAAAAATACAAAAAAAACCAAAGAAAATAAACAAAAATACCAAAGAAAATCGATAATGGCTCGATTTGAGGGCTAGTACGACTCAGCTCCAAACATAGAAATCTATTAAAATAGCTCGGCTCGGGGTATGGCTCGACTTTCGGAGGAGGTTGGCACACGGATCATTGGACTAGGTGGCGATCGGGTCGGGTTATCAAATGAAAACGAGTGAATCTTGACTAAATAAAACACCCAAAACGACGTCATTTTTGAACAGTATAAAGCTTTAATTTTTATTTTTTCACAGATTGCTTCATTCTCTTTCTCTCTCTTCTTCTTTTTCCTCTCTCTTTTCTCTCTACTGGTCCAGAATCCGATTGAATATTCATCGAAAATTGAAAAAATGTCGTCGAAAAATATGAATGTCGTCGAAAAACTCACAAAATCTAGAATTTCCAAAAATTTTCCCAAAAAAAGGCAAAATTCGAGAAAAAAATCTTAAAAATTCTAAAATCACTTTTACTTTTCCCCAACCCTTTTTGCTTCTGTTTTTTCTATTTCCTGTATACTTTCTGTGTGTTCTTTGGCCTCATTTAAAATCTCTATTTATAGGATCAAAAGTCAAAAAATCATCATCCGCTAGAAATTTCAATTTATGTTAAACTTTACCTTTATGCCCAGCTCAATCCTTACAACCCGATTCCAACTTAAATTCAACTTTCTTTTTTTTCATTTTTCTCAATTTTTTTATTTTTTTAATTTTTTATTATTATTTTTATTAACAAACGTAGACCACAAATAAATTAAGATGTTTACACGAGGTATATAATTAATTGGGTTGAATCAAGAGAGGCTTGAGCCTAAAAAACTTGCCCAAAAACTCCGCCCACATGTAGTCCGATTGTGAGCTTCTCTAGTTTTAAGATGTCTGTTGAAAATAAAGGTGGATAAAGGCTTGGTGAGGTAATTATTATCAAATTCATGGTCAATACTCTGTTATTTTGCATTACAAGTATTCTCCATTATCAAATGCTTTTCAATAGAATGCCTTGAAAATTAACTCCACCTCCACTTGCAACGGAAAGTTTTCCAGGAAAAAGACTCAGAAGTAAGTTTCATAAAATGAAAATTCAAACCGGTCTCAAAGGTGAGACAGGAATGGGTTCTGACAATATCTTCTTTTAGAGTGATTAACACTTCATTATACAAATCATACACAATATCTTCCTCTCCTTTTTACTCGGAACCGGAGTTGAAATTCCTACATCTTATTATCAAACAACGCCAATTCACAAGTTTTAGTCAATGATGAGAAATGCCAGTTACTCCCAACTATGAACAATGGAAAATGACAGCAACATCAGATTCATCCAACTGAATTGGACTTTCACTTAAAAAATGTAATTTATTAATCTAAAAAAAATATTGTTGATGTTATCAGAGGGCGTACTTGCCAGGTAAACGAGCCTATTGTTTCTGAGCCATCTTCGGCTTCTTTTGATTCCCACATAGAAAAAAGGTTCTTGCCATTTCTTCTATTGCTAAGGAATTAATAGCACTGATTAAAGCAGAAGAAGAAACTTCTCCACTTTTTTTCCGTCTTCGCTTTGGGGGTTTCCCTAGAGTCATCACGCACTCCCATCAAAGAGCTTGTAACTGGAGATTCCGGTGGCAAGATGGTGTTCTCTGAAGCAAAAATTCGAGGAGGAATAGCTGGTTCAGGAGGACAAATGCTAGGAAGATTATTTAGGAGCATCTGGATATTTGACTGAAATTAGGACGAGCATTTGGGTCCTCCTTCCAACATGATGTTAGAATGATGGCCAATTCCTCAGGCAGGTTTTCAGCACTAGGTCTCACATTCTGTATAGTAAAACATCCCGAAACATCAACTACATCTAACAATACTAGAAAATCTTTGGATCAAGTACTTTAATCAATCAGTGCAATAAGATGGATATAAATTAGAGTTATTACATTAAAAGCAGCTGCATATACTGCCCGGAGATTTGATATGCCTTCAAATGGCAATTTGTTGTGCAAGAGCTCCCACAGCACAATTGCAAAGCTGTAGGCATCCACTTTATGGTTGTAATGCTTCTTTTCTCCCTGCCTTAATGTGACGGTACTTTACAACTGCCATAATTTAGCCACGCAACCAAGATTAATTAGTGGTTTGGTCAGAAAACGATTGAAGAACAAACTAAGAGTGAAAAGTAAGTACCTCTGGAGCCATCCGGCGGTATGTTCCTGTTTCAGCAGTCATCATCTCTGTTAGTGACTCCTCTCGTGCTAAGCCAAAATCCCCTAGTTCAACTGTTTTATGGTCTGCTCTCATAAGCAAATTTTCTGCAGAGAGAATATCCAGATATTCAAAGCTAATATGTAACTATGCATGTTTAAATGTCCCCCCCCAGTGCTGTGTTGAATCATTCTTATAGCACACACCAATCAAGTTCACTATTTCCCCCCTGTTTGAGGGGGCAGCAAAGGTGGATGGTCGTAACTTCTAGTTAAGCAAGATTAATGCAAGTTGCAACAAATAAAAGAAAACTCGCACAACTGGTTGTCTCTTAAGTCAATTGTTATTATTTTAATCGTAGCCATTATACAAGTAAAACAAAGCAATATTCCAGCTTAATAGCCTTAAGAGTAATTATTAAAACCTATTTTAATTACTAATTATCTTGGACAGAACAAGTGAACCCAACATTTGGAAGAGATTCAATTTGGTTTCCATTGGAGCAAGCCCATGGCATTTTCTTCAATTCTACTGGGTGCAATTGATTTTTACTTATAATATATAATGCCATAGGAGCTTTTATAGGTACCTATGTCACCAAATAGGAGCTTTTATAGGTACCTATGTCACCAAACAATTGCATTGGAATTATATTCAATACAAAACTTGCAAGTAAATTTGCCCTCCAAACCATCTTGTCCTTCTGAAATCTGAATCCTGAACTGCACTTCAACATTTTCCTCACATCGTCTTCCCTCCCCCTTTTCACATCGGTATCCTCCATCAAATACATTATTGCATTTTATAATATAAATAAAAATGAGTAAAGAGTGTAAAATTCTTGTGAAGATAAGCATGTTATTTAATGCTTTCAATTAACTCTGCACTCAATAGATCTTTCAATCATGCAAAGCAAAAAATTAGCCTTCTTTTTTTTTCCTGCACACAAAAAAGGGAGGATATGTGCATTTCACTTGCTACTTAGTTTTTATTAGTAAAAAAAATTCATATGCAAATAAAGATGATGTTAGGTTGCATTTATACTTATACTACTTGGCTACTGCTTAGAAACAAAGAAATTAAATGAAAGAATATTAAAAAAATGAAGTTTATTTATTTCTTTCTTAGAGATTGTTAAAAATGAAGTTTATTTCTTTCTTTCTTTTATATACCGTTCAAGATATAAGGCTGAAACGAAACCAAAGGGAGACTGGTTTTTTTGGTTCAGTTAAGGGAGACTTTCCTTTGGTGACTTAAAAGTTCCTGGGGAGAAAAAAAAAAATATATATATATATATATAAGTACTTTAAAAATTCAAATTTCTTTTATATTTGAGATTGCAGTTTCTTTTTTTTTTTTTCTATTCGGGTATAAATTATGGGTTGTCACATGTTCCAATTGCCAGTTGTGAAACATTTTTTTCTTTTTTAAGAAAAAGAGATGAAACTGAAACATATACATATATATATATATATATAGATTTATACATAATACGTAAATAGTTATAGCCATATAGGCTTCAAAGAAACAGCAAAATGCATACAGCTCTCTGGCTGCATATAGTAGTGAGCCTAAAAGACCCCTCCAAAACTAAAATTAAAACTACTTGAAAATGTTTAGAAGAAGCACACTTCATTTTATTTATTTATTTATATATATATAAAGCCCATCCATAACACAGAACCATCATCCTTCGTTTAAGCCCTTTCTCCAGTTAGAAGATCCATGACAACTCCCTTGATGCTCCCATTGTTCTTCTTCAGCAGCTTCTTGTTCATTTCCGCATCACAGAAACCCTGCACCCACACAAAACCCGATCTCATAATCCTAATCAACAATAGAATAACAAAAAAAAAAAAGGCCACAATTTCTGCACACAGTTACCATTTCCTGCAACTCCTCAAGGATTGGATCCCATTCAGCTACCCCACAAAGATCTTCAACAGACTTCTCCAGATCGTATTCATTCATCCTCAATATCTCCTTGTTCAAATCAACCTGCTTGAATCCCATATCTTCAAGTTCCTTAAGTAGAGTCTGCTCAACGGTATTTTCGCTCTTCTCTTCAGATGGTGCTTGTTCACATAATGCAGGGGGTAGCAATTGTGAGGGTCCAGCAGGAGCTACTTCTGATAGATCAATGATAGGATAAGACACTGATGAAGATGGTGTTTGTGGAAAAGCAGGGGCTGCGACACCTTGGTCAATGATGGAATATGCTGCAGATGAAGATAATGTGGGCGGTTGGAAAACAGGAATTACAGCACCTTGGTCAACAACGGGATAAGTCACGGATGAAGATGTAGGAATAGGGGTTGGGACATCACTGTTGTTTACTGTCTTCTCCTTCGTTGACTGTTCATTAACCATGGGCTTCACTTGCCCCGTGCCAGCATAAGAGTTGCAAAGCTCTGTAAGAAAATCAACATTCATATCTACAATCTCAGAGACTCTTGGGCCACTGCTATCAGGGGGCAAATTCAAGTTCAAGCCCTCAAGGTTATCACTAATCGTATCCTTCAGGGAGGCATCAACCTGCATTAACAAAATCATAACCAAAAGTGACTTCAACTGTCAAGAGATTAAAGCTCAGAATGCATATAAACCTTATAGATAGAAAACACAAGACTTACATGGATGAGAACCCAAACACGTTGCCCAAATTTTATGCCAGATTGAGTTGCCATCCTCCAGTAAGAAATATATCGACCAGGCAACTGTGGTGCAGTAAAATCAACAGCAATATCAAGTTCCCCATCAACAGGTACACCATCAGCAGGAATCTGTCATAATTTGGGAAGATGAGTAAATAATTAAGCAAAGCCATGAACAAATTCAGTATTAAGTTACAAAAAACAAATTAAACAGCACATTTGCAATTAATGCAAAAGATAAAACACTACCTCTAAATCAACTGACGCTGCATTACTTAAATTGTCTCCCCCAATCCAGACAAGTTGCATCCCATGAGACCAAGGCAGAGTACCATTGTTGCGCATACGCCAGATCTTTGTAAATGGCGTAGATGGAGCCATTACAGTCCCATCCCGTACATTGACATCCAAGATGAAGCAACTTTCTAGCTTAGGCCAACCTGACTTCAGTACACGATTCCTCAACACATGTGGGAGTGCTGGGCCACCAACCCTTGGAATCTATAAATAGAACATATCACATGTCACTGGAAAGAGGAGAACAGCCAAGAAGCAAACAGGCAAGAAAATTACATGATCATTTGATGCCTTGCGACACGATGGATGCCGGTAATACATAGGCCTGTCCATTCTGATGTAATCAGTTTCATTTCCCATTTTAGAATGCAGATGCTGCATAGATCATAATTGTCTTTACTGCATTCCCAAGTCAAGAGAAGTTCAGTAAGTGACAACCCAAAAAAAAAAAAAAAAAGATTCCAAAAGGAATGATGAGTGCTTAAAACCATTTCTTACACTTTGGACTTGAACCGAGGTCCAGTAATGGGATAAACCCCACAACCATCACATTGAATTCCCTTGTGGAATGTACCAAGTGTGACGTTTCCATCAGTCGAAACAAAGCTCCTTTTACTTGGACTCAAGGGATGGTGTGAAGGAGGCACAACAGGGTTGTTTGCCACTGGCACTCCACTGAAGGGACATTCATTTGTAGTATCCGTACCCATCTCATTGAAAGCAAAATATTTCCTTGAGGTATCAATAAAGGGAGTTGACGTCACAAAGCTAACACTCTTCCCCTTGTTAAGACCATTATTCTCCTTAGTGTTTTCCTTGTCATTACAAGCAAAACCGTTTGATGCAGAAGGTACAGAGGATATGGTAGCACATACAGTCAGCTTGGCATCAGAAGGAGGGTCAACATTCAAATCAACAGCAGCATGACCAGAAATGGCAGGAACATCCAGACCTCCTGTTGCAATTCCAGCGTTGGCTTCCTTGCTAGCCTTGCAACTTGAATCAACAACTGTAAATTTTGGTAAAACTGCTTGTAAGCCACCATCCCCTCAAAGGATCTGGGTCAGTTGGGGCATAGGGGCTCTCAGAAGATCCAACAGGCGTGCTTGAATCAGCAGTAGCTCCAAACTGGTTAACAGGACTCAGATGGGATTGTCCCATCTTAGACAAGCACTCCACAAGATCACCCAACACAGGACTAGCGGATGCAGCTTTTGAAGCAACATCAAAGGAAAGCTTTGAAAAAACTTCACTTAGGGCATCACGTAGAGGCTCTGGTACAGATTTCAATACATTAGCAGCACCAGCATTAAAGCTTGCCAATGGAGGCTGAACAGATGGGGATCTCAAAGGAGTAGAACTGCCACTTAATCTGGCATAAGGTTTACCATGCTTATCATTATTCAGCTGCACATCAATCCTCAAGAATTTGAGGCGTTGCCTCATCACATCACGCAGATCATCATCATCAACAAGGGTAACAACATCCCCATCTTCATCAATATATGTCAGAGTAAGTTCACTACCAACAGGAAAATTGAAAAGCCCAATAATTTTTGTCCTCAGTCCAGCCATATTAAGATCCAGCTGTTCACCGTCACCAATACAAGCATTGAAACGCCTAAGAGTATCTCCATACTTAACCTGTATCCATAACATTAGCAAAGCAAAAAATGACATACATAAAAAAATAAATTTAATAATAATAATATAAACAAAGTACCATGCTCTAACAAAAGATTACAAATCAAGTTTCGGTAAAATTAGTTAATCGGGGAAACAAGAAATCAATTGAACGATTTTAAAAGGAACGATTAGGGTTAATCATGCATTCATATTGGAAATAATCAAAACAATCAGTATGGGCATAATCAATTGATATTCACGAAATCAACTCAGAATTTTAAGGCAAAAACCCTTGATTGCATGCGATAATCACAGTTCACAATAATCAAAACAATCAGTGCGTACATAATCACAGACTCGAATTTGGGAAAAAAAAGAATAAGAATCAACTCTCACGTTTTCCTCCTACACATTTTCTCAGGAAACAAACAGAAAATTAAAAAAAAAAAAAAAGGAAAAGAAAACGACATGGATCGGTTTAAAGTTGACAATCATAGAGCGTACAGCATGGCAAAACTAAAAATTATCGGAGGAAATAAAAGGGACGCAAAAAGAAGGATTAAATTGTTATAAAAAGTATGAGAAGCGAACCTTGATAACGAGATTGGATTCCATCGCTTAGGGGATGAATATCAGCAAAGCTGTAGAGAGAAAATAATTTTTAATCTCAAAAGGAAAAAGAAAAAGAAAACGAAAACCCCAACCCTAACCCTAGCAAAGGCTAATCATTCAAAGTGTCCGAAACGATTAAATCGGAGACGATCTTTGAGTTTTTGAAGGTTTCTTTCTTGTGCTTGTATATTGTGTGGGAGTAACCGAGTATACGGAACGGAAGCTGCGCTATTCCTTCTGGCGTAAGCTGTTTCTCTTTCTATTCCAATCGGAAGAAAGCAATTTTTCATTTATCGCGTGTAGTGTGGCTTAGGCAATAAGAAATTTCATTGACTTTTACGGGCTTTGGGTCATCTCCCTCGTTTATTCGTTTCCCCTAAGGATTTTTTTTTATTCTTTAATAATTTGTCGGCGAAGAAGCTTACCTGATTAAGGAACCAACCCAGCCCAAGTGATTGTCTTTTGGGCTTTGGACACCTACTAACAAACCGATGAAATAATTCGAACGGAACAAACCGTGAAGACGACGATGCATGTTTATCTTAGTTATTTTTATCATACAATGATAACAATTTCTACTATTAACTTTAACTAGTTATTTATGCTAATAAATTTTTTTTTACTGAATTTGATGTCAAGAATTTAATTTATTTGACTAAAATTACTTAAAAGTTAAATAAAATTAAGAATATTGATTTTTCATAAAAAAGAATATTTATGTCATTTATTTTTTAATAAAAAATTTTGCATGCATTTAGAAATTTAAAAAAAAAAAAAAGCACTCATCAAATAACTTCCTTCTTTATTTTTTTTTTTTAATTTATCATTTTTCACCCAAAATTGTTGGTGTACCAAAATCTATTGTATTATAAATAGTAAAGTCTTTTGAGAGTTTATATGATTAAATTTTGCAATTCCATTTTATATAAAAACCTTCATTACTTTCTTTATTTCTCTCAACATTTTCTTTAGTCAATTATTTTTATTTCTAAATATTCTGAATTATGTCTTTTTTTTTCTTTTTTAATATATAATACTCTTTTTCAATTTTAAATTAATTTTTTAGAATTTTTTATTTTGACATTAAAAATATCAAGCACTAATTTTAATTATAAATTCTTTCTAATTTTAACATTAAATATTCTTAAAGATGAAGCCATCCAATACAAAATGGGATGGGGGGAATAATTTTTCTTTTTTTTTTTTTGAATGATTAGTTATGTAAGAATACAATCTTCAAGATTATCAACTGATTGATTTAATCAGTTAAAGCTCATCTTCTTCGACGAAAAAGTTTTGAGTTCGAATCCTGTCGGCAATCACTTGTTAGGGATCATTTCAAATGTACGAACTGTAATCACTTGTCTTAAATTATTTGATACAACACATATTATCTTGATCTGGTAGATTGAACAATTTATCTATCCCGAATTTTTTTCTTACAAATAAAAAAAAAATCATCAAGATTGTCCAAAATAATTCTACAACATAAGCCTGCGACGAACATGTTTTGTAGACAATGATATAATTAATGCAAAGAATCCAAATTTTAACACTACCATTTAGGGTTTGTACGTTATTTTCCAAAATAAGAACTCTACAAGCAAGTATAGTATCTATTGGCTCACTAGATACTAAAGATGATGATGATGACGATAAGAAGATTTCATACTAAAGATGGTGATGGGTATATCTAAGAGCCATAAACCAAAAAATAGTACTAATAATAATAACAGAGAACAATTAACATCCCCACAATCACCAGGGCCATTAAAGCTGTGATAAAATGAAAAACAAAATAGCACGGTTCTTCCCACATTATTTTCCTCCAAAACTCACATTCGAGAATCAGAACAAGAACAAAATTTGTTAGCTTTTCCACCCTAAAGATGGAATTGAAGCTTAAGGGAAAATGAAAAAAAAAAAAAAAAAAACCATCAATAATTGAAGTTGGCAGCAAACTGGAAGTAATTTGGACTATGAAATTATCGCTGCTCATCAAGATAAGGGTCCCTAGGAGATCCTCCAGCAGCTCCCAGGTAACCTGACACACTCTCACCGACAACTGAAACGTAGTTCTTCAACCAAGAGGCACTGCGTGTTAACCACCCAGTCTGTGCCTGTTCATTTACTTCTAGCATGCACTTTCTTTCTTTCTCAACAAGTATGTCCAGCCACCTCTTAGCCATGAATGTCTTGACAGCATCAACCCCTAGGTTTACTATTTCCAAAGGTGGAATGACAAGAGGATTTTGTTGCAATTTGAGTTTGGTCAGTTTTTCAAGCCGACCAAATGTATCAGGAAGAGCTTGAATTTGGTTGTTACTGAGATCAAGCTCTTTAAGGTTGGTCAATTCACCAAGAGTGTCAGGAAGTTCCCTCAAATCACTGAAATTACTGCTCAGATTGAGGATCTCAAGATTTGTCAATCTTCCAATTTCATCTGGAAGACCAGAAAGTTCATTGAAGTGAGCATCCAGAAAACGCAAAGAAGTCATCTCACCAATAGAAGTGGGCAAGGATCGGATCTTGTTCAAATGAATTGAAAGCCCTTGCAGATTTCCTAATTCATTTCCAAGATTAGTTGGCAAGTATGACAGGGAGTTGAAGCTCACATCCAACTCTATCAAAGACCTGAATTGATGAAAATCCAATTTCAGGGAAGGTTTAATGACCAAACACAATGTTTCATTTTATAATTAACTAAAATTACCTGCAATGACAAATGGTGTCTGGTAAGGCATTCAGTTTATTCCCAGAGACATCCAAGATTTTCAAGTTCTGAAGCAACCCAATCGAGTCTGGCAGTGATTCCAGAAGATTTGATGAAAGATTAAGCTCCTCAAGTTTTTCTAATCCAGCAATTGAGTCAGGAATAACCTGTCTCCTCATACAGGTTATAGTCAGATGCAAGAGAAATTCATAAAAGAGTCAAGACCCAGAAATTAATACTACTTGCCTATACAAGAACACGTAGATTGCTTAACTAATCAGTTTTAATTAAAGCACCATGAAAGCAGAGACAAGTCACATGTATCAGTAAAGGTAATCATTATCTAACCAAAAACATGTAACCTGGATAAGGATACAAGCTTCATCTCTGATGTCTACAGACCCATTGTTAAGTCATAAAAATGTAGGATTCTTTCGTAAGAATATTGAATCCACAAGACCAGTTGATCATTTACAAGTGCACATGAACTAAAGCATATACCATTGGAAAGCAATATGGTTATCAAGAGGTTAAGGGGGTTGATATCACTTGATGCAATCAATGTTACTGAATCAACATATGAATAATATCATAGGAAAACTGAAAATAGGAAACTATTTCTTACACCTGTATAATTCAAAGTACTGATTACTAAATAACTCCTTCAATGTGAAGGATTGCAGATCCAGAAGTTCTAACTTCCAAGTAGCTTATCCTTTGTAGTTTGTAAGTATAGCCATCTGCCCACATTTAACTAGGAATTATAGAAATGCCCAAAATCGCATGTAAACTCTCAAAATTTAGTGCCAATGCAATGAAGCTCAAACTCTTCATTTTCATTGAATATGGGTATGGAGGTTCCACCCTCAAAAGGTCACATATAAGGAAAATCTTAGAAAAAAGTTGAATACATCCATATCGGACACAGACCATCATCTGGCACTCAGACCGAGTCGGAGTAACATAGTTTGATAATAGTAAAGTGGTTCATAAATGTGAAATATGGGGCCTTATCCAATCACATTCCAAATTAAATAAAAATGATATCCAAAAAGGAGAAAGAAAAAACAGACCTCAAGCTGATTACTGGAAAGATTAAGGAAAAGCAGGCCCGTAATCTTGCCAAAGGCTCCGGGCAAAAGCCTGAGCTTCCTTGCAGACAAATCCACTCTTTGCAAACCTCTCCCTTGCGCTTCCTCCAGCACCCCAACAACATCCACATTGACATTATCCTCCTCAACTACCTCCGAATTTTCCGCCACTTTTCCCGCCTTCTCATAAATCTTAACCAGCCTCTCCTCCGCTTCCTTCAGAAGCTTCCCGTACGCCTCGTGCATTTCGTCCAATTGCAAAATCGATTTGTAAATAGATTTCTCCTTGTCAACTTGTTGTCGAATCTGTTGCTCTTCATCGGCCAAGCGGGCCCGCCACTCGACTCGATCCAACTCCATGGGTCGAGGAGACAGGACCAGTTCTTCCATAGATTTGGAGAGGCTGGACTCGATCTCCGCGAGTTTGGAGCGGGCCATGTCAACGGACTCGTGGTCGGGTCGTGGGCCCAGGGTTTGGAGAATTGAGCGGGTTTGAGCCACGTCGGAGACTGCATGGGTCATGAAGGCGAGGACATTAGGATGGGATAGTTGGGGCATTTGGTCCGCGATTTGTGGCGGATTGGTGGAGGAGGAAGGTGCAGAGGGATCGTGAATTGGCGGGGGTTGTTCGAGGTCGAATGCATGATCGAAGCGGGGTGTGGAAAGGAGTTTGGAGGTTGGTCCGATGGAAGGGAAGCGAGACATGACGTAGGAGAGGAGCGGGTAGCTTTTGGGGTTGGGATCCATTTTGAGGGCGGAGGATTTGGAGAATAGGAGTAGTTCTTGGCTGCCGAGCTTTTAGAAGTTGTACTCGCTCCTATCTCCTATCATCCGTCGAGAGTGGAGATTTCCAAGTTTTCATTTTTCTGTCCTGTTCCTGCATGTGCTATGATTTTATTTACAATAACATCACCCTTGGCTTGGATTGTTGGTTGGATGACGTGGAGAGTTTTTATTTTCTTTTATCAATTTTTAAGACATTATTACAATTTCTCACCCAAAAATATTGTTTATCATCCAGTTCTTTTTCATTTGAGCTTCTTCATCACGCTCTTTGGCTTAGTAATAATTCCCATGATTATAAAAGCCTTTTTGTTTCTTTACTATACTAAATCCATTCAATCAAAAAGAGTATATCTACTATTTTGGTTTTAGTCAAAAATATAAATATAAATAAAATTCAAGTCTCAAAATTAGAAATTAATTATCGAATCTATCCGTTTGGAAAATCAGAAAAACCGAAGCATACGCACGCATTCTTTTCTCTGGTAACTATCTTTTGCAAGAGCCAAAGAGAGAATATATTCTTCATTGGAGTTGGAGTTCGTGTCTAACAAATCTTTGATCAAATTCAATCACATTGAGATTTGCGGGTGCTATGCGGTGTTACAAAAAGGAATTTGAGATAGATTAGATTCTTGTATTGTCTTGATATGAAAATAGCACAACTACTCTTTCAACATAAGAAGGCAAAACTGCATTTGCAATTATCAATCTCCTCACTTTTCAGTTTCTATACCCTTTCACCTTGAAACATCTTCGACTGTCACATTCCCTTTCATAGTTAAAAACGCAATCACAACATAATTCTCAAAACTTTGAAAGCCGACCCAAAAAAAAACAAAAAGAGGGTCAAAAACTCTTCTTATCTTTTTCTTCCTTCGCTCCTCCCCTTTCATTTTCCCTTTTTGTGTAGCCACAGACAAAAAGGTACAAGGCAGATGGTATAGTAGGTTTGTGGGGGTTCCATGTTTCATTCATTTGCACATTTTCCAGAAGGAGGATGACTTGATACAACTTCAAACTACTTTGTAAGTAGCCTTCATGGTATTAGTTGATTGATGAAACAAGCGGATGAGACTCCAAAGGTTGCTTTCTGCCTTTCAGCACCATCTTCATGTTCAAACTGATAAATATATATATATATATATATATAAAATAGAAATGGCATCTCTTAGTGCCCATATTCTGGAAAGTGGTATAAAACATCACCAATGATGGTAAATATACACAAATGAATAGATTTTTCAGTAGCAGGAGAAGCCCAGAATGCGATACACTAAATGAAGCCTCATTTCCAAAACAAAGGACAGATGCATGATGTAATGAGATGCTAAAAATGTAAAAAGCATCTAAAAGAAACAAAAGTTATCAACTGAGTGTAATTAAATTTGCTATTCTACCTCAATTTTATTCATTTTGCCACTATACTTTCATTTTTGTTGATTTTTGGACAAAAGGTGACAGAATTGACAGAAATTTGCCATTTGCCTTAGCAAATATTCCAATTCCATTACCTTTTGTCTAAAAACCAACAAAATTAAAAGTATAGTGGCAAAATTGAATATTGAGACATACGATAGTAGCAAATTTGACCTTAATCCCATGCAATAATTAAAAAAAAAAAAAAAAGTACAAACCTGCAGAATTACATTCCCAGTGAATTCTACTAAATTGCTCACCAATAAGTCCAATATCAGCTATATCAAATATAAAAACATGACATGACGAAAGAAAATGACGTTTATGAAGGATGTATAGTTCGTTTCTACGATTTCCATCCACAAATTGCTGCATAAACATTAAAACGAAATAAATAAATAAAAGTGAAAGCAGAAGGGAACCTTGTTTTCAAGGCAAGCTTCCTCATGCGGATATGCATATGGGTCATTTTTGTGAGACGTCGCTTTATTTTGTGCACAAGGAGCTTCGGCCAATACATCTTCATGATGAAAGAAACAAAAAAAAAGAAAAAAAAGGCACGTTAAGCAACAGAAAGCCTTCAGCCGAAGTCAAGAAAAAAAAAAAGGCATTAGTAAAACAAGAGAAGAGATGGAATACCAGATGCTTGTCAATAACTTCAAGAGCCTTCTCATAATTTTTGGGTAATTTTACTCATTCCCACAAATCATTCGGTTTATGAGCTCTTTCAATAGTCTTCATATATTAAAAAAAGACCCCTGCACAAGACCATGACAGCAAAATCCAGTAAGCCACATAAATGCTTAATCATCGCATAACAATCAAGTAATAAACAAGATGCTTGATATATGGTCTTCATATATCGCTCAAATTATATAAACATGCAGCAGTCAGAATACCCAGTTACTCTCATTTTATAGCAATCAAGTAATAACCCAATTTATAAAAAAAAAAAAAAAAAAAAGATGCTTCATTCGATTTTCATAACTGATGAAACAGATATTTTGATTGAATTTGGCGCAGCAAACAAGAATTGGCAATTAAGTTTTATAGCCTAATTCAGTAATCCTCATCTGTCTCCTCTAATTTTCTCAAAGAGCAAAGTAGGAGATAAGATTAGATAAAGAAGGAAGAGTAAATTACCATCGTGGTCGCGGATAGTGGCGTAGCGACTACTAGCGAGAGGGCAGGAACAACGGTTGCAGACCCAGTGACGTTATAAGGGTTTCTACAGAAAATGCCAGTAGAGATTCTGCAACCAAAAAAAAAAACCATTAAAAACGATGATACCCATAGTTTCAAAAAAAAAAAGGGGGAATGTTTACTTTGAAAAGAATTATACTTGGACATGAAACTGCAATGCTTATGCCTGATTACTTGCCATATCACCTCGTCCTGCTGCATCTCTCTTCTTTAATTTACTAACTCAGCTCAATAAGAGTAATATTCAATTTTTAAAAACACAACCAAGAAATTTGACCAAAAAAATAAATAGAAACCTAACTAAGAGGGGAAATAAGGTTTTGAGATTTTGGCTCCTAGGGTTTTTAACTTTTATGTTATAAGCTGGCATTTGGATTCCTCCGAATTTTTTATGTAGTGTAATTAAATTTACTGTATCTTTAATTAAATTTTAATTTTAATAAAATTAAATCAACATAAATATTTTATTAAAAAATTTTTTATCGTAATTATAATAATTTTTCTTATTACAGTTATAATAATAATTTCATTATAATTTATCTCATTATCCGTCCAAATGTAGCATTAGCTGCCTCTGGCCCTGCTGTAGGCGGTCGTGTATTTTTTATTACTCGGTTTACGGAGACTTTAAATGCACCCCTTTTTTTTTTTTGTTACATTTAATTTTTTAAATTTTTTAAATGAAACTATTTTTTATTTCAATGTTAAAACTTTCAAATATATTTCAAAATTTTAAATTCGACAATTTTTAAAAGTTAGAAAGGATGTAAAAAAATAATAATAATAAAATAATTTATTTAAAATCATTTTTTAGAAAGTATGAAAAAAAAAAGTGGTGTGAATAGAAATTCTCTAAGACGTCCGCAGATTAGTCCTTTAAATCTTTATTGGACTCTTACCTACAGTTTTTTGTTCAATTTCATCAAAATTTCAAACAGATCTGCACCTTTGATTGACTGTCACTACCAAATTATATTTATCTGAACTGATATATATAGATTTATGAATGATAAGCTAAAAACGATAACTTTTTTCTTTTTTTTTTTTTTAACTTTTGTTTTTGCCTTTCTGATGAGTACATTATATCATTTTGTTGTTTAGATATGGTTTTGTACGTTATTGATGTATTCAGATGAAAAACACACAAAGCATAAAATGTTCTCTTTTAATGGAGAAGCATGAAATTTCAACTGAAACATTTGATAAGATTATAAGAATAACCAAAATAATTTGATACAAGGCACAAATCGGAAATGAAAAGTTGGTGTACTCATTGATTTGTTGGTTTATTTAACGTTTGTATTCTTTTTTCTTTTTTTTTTGGGTATTTAAGATTATGAATGATCGAAGAATTCCAGCAAAACTCTCTGAATAAGGAGCAAAAAGAAACGTATTACTGAAGATACGTCAAATGCAACTATCCCGTCGAGTTGCAAACAGAATCTTTCTCTCAACCAGTTCAAATATCTCCTTCAATCGATGAAAGAATTTCTGAGTTACGTTTCGAGTTATTCGCAGCTGGAACTTGGTGCTTTTAAACCAGGTTATCCCAATGTAAGCATCACACTTGCAAGCATTATGAGCTAGCCCAGACTTCTCAATCTGGTACATAAAATGGACCTGCAATTAGAGAGAGACAACAAAGAAATGTGTAAATAGTAAAGAAGCCATTAGCTGTGAAAGGGTGCATGTGAAATTACGGATATGGTTTTGACATACACGAAAGTGGTCACTGAATGGGACGTCATGGAACACCATGACCTCATTTACAATCCACCCTTGATCATTTGCAATAGGAGATTTTTGCTGTGTGCAGATGACTTCCCCTCCAAAGATTGAAACATGGCTGTTGAACTTGTAAGAGACTTGTCTTTCAGAAACACCAGACTTTACGGGTTCCCAAACAACCGTTGCATAATTAAGACAACCTGATTTTTCCATAACTTTGTGCTTCAATTTTCCTCCATCAAAAATTCCCATCAGAGATGTTATCTGCATGGATGCCAAAGCAGTTCCACCCCCAAAATAGTCAAACAAGTTCATCAAATGCATACTTCTTTTTGTTAATAAGCATCCTAACAATAATAGATAGCAGGAGGTCGTATAGAGACAGAGAGACTCCACCAAACCTTGTATATTTGCCTTCTGCGAATCTCATGGATTCACTCAAGAAAGACAGCAGCGCAATATGAGTTCCTAGATGCATAAAAACAAAACAAGAGTCAGGAACTCCAGAATTAACACTGATAGGGAGTTCGGCAGTATAAATCTTTGACATCTTTGCATCTTCAACTTCCAGAATGGATCCAATCTCTTCGAGTGTGATGGCTCTTTCCTCTTGATCCTGCTGCTCCTCAGCAATCTGTTCTTTTGGATCAGGCGTCAGAGTTCTTGTTCTCCTCAAGGCCATTATTGTCCTGTTGTATAATATTGTA